TTTCAATCATACTTGCAAAGCAGCCCCTCAGACCCATCTGAGATACGTATTTCTAGGGTCCGTCCTATTCTGCTCACTGTAATTTGTTTTAAACCGCTTTTAATTAAGTTGTTGTAACCCACCCTGGGACCTTATGGTGAAGGACAGATAAGAAATAATAAATAGTAATAGTAATAATAGTACCTAATGTGCAGGTAGAGAATGGAGAAACAGTGTCCATGACTAAACTTACATTATATGAGAGCCCCAGAATAATACCAGCTGAGCACAGTGACTCTCGAAAGCAAATTGGGTCCAGAAGATGCATTGAAAGGACCTGGGCTCTGAGACTCCTGGGCAATATATTGCAGCAGACTAGCATTCCCCTGGAAAGACATTTGCAGGTTGCTTTAAGAGAAAACGAAGATCTTGGATTACCAGCTTGCTCTAGGCTTATATCTGGATGCCTCAGAAGGGCCTGGTAGCAAGCTGTGGTGATATTAAAACTAGAGTGGAGAGTGAGGGGGGATAAATTGCTCCTGTGAGGAGATAAGCCTTGCAGGCAGAGTTATGCTGCCCAACTTCAACATGGTGAGCTGTGAAGATTAAAAAAGATCTGAAGCCCAGCTGAACAGGCTTGGAAGCAAAATGGGGTTGCTCTACTCCTGTTTCTGCTGACGCTTCAAAGCAGGGATGGGAGATATTCCACAAAGGCGCTTGTTTGGAAAATACCTGAGCCCACGAGCTCCTAAAGAAGAGAAACTCTAGAGCAGGAAAGGGCAATCTCTACCAGTAGCTCACAGATATTAATATAATGAGATGGGGCAGATCTGCAAGGAGAGGAGTGGGTCTCTTAAAGCCAACATGGTGGTTATTCCAGGTAGTGTCTTGGGAGGTGTAGCCGGCTTGGCAGTGGCCACGATTGGTTGTCCCAGCAGCACTGGGGGCAGCAGGCTTCACTGGCGCTGGAATTGCAGCTGGCTCTCTGGCTGCAAAAATGATGTCGGCAGCGGCCGTCGCCAATGGTGGAGGAGTAGCAGCTGGGAGCGCTGTTGCCGCGCTTCAGTCAATTGGTGCTGCTGGGCTGTCTGCTGCTACCACAGCTGCAGTGACAGCTGGTGGAGCACTGCTGGCTGCCATCTTCCTTTAAGAAGAAGACACACATACACAGAGGCCATATCTACTTGGAAAAGCAGTACTTGGAAAATTATGCTTTGCTGTCAACGACATAACTCACTTGATTTACCTTCAGTAAAATGTGATTTTAATCGATGCTACGTTATTCCTATTGGACAAAATGTGCAAAAACAAATAAAGCTTTGAGAATATAATGAGCCGGGGTTGTATATTGCCAGAAACTGAGTATAAACAGTAGGGTTGCAATCCACACACACACACACACACACACCCCCGTTTGTGTGTGTGTGTGTTTGTGTGTGTGTGTGTGTGTGTGTGTGAGAGAGAGAGAGAGAGAGAGAGAGAGAAGCTCTCTGCTGTTAATTGTTGCACAACATGAAGAAAATATTTAGCACACAGTTGCTGCAACTGCATGATGGTCAAAACTGGACGTGTTGATTTTCAGCCTATCAACATATTAAAAGCACACACCAGTCTTCAGCAAGGAGAAAAAGGAGGAGACATTCCTTCATAGGACTGGCATTCTCCATTATACCTCAGGCTAGTTCTTATCACTCCTCAGTTGCCAGACTGAGTGGATAATGTTACCATTTATCTGCATGTATACAGAGTTGCTGATAAACATCTGTACCCAGCAAGCACATCTATTTTGGCCGGGCTTTTGCTCAAGTTTAGAGGGCACCACGAAACAAGTTATACACGGGTGAAGTAGCAATTGGCCAAACACCGCAAATCGAAGAGTGTTTGACTTGTTATATAGTAAAGGCTGAGTAGGGTTATGAAAGATTGACGGTACAGTCAGCCTGCAAATGGGACTGGCATCCTTGGGGTTAAGAATGGAGGGCTCTAAATGCAAATATGAAGAGGGGCAGGCGATGGGTACAAGGTAGACCAGAGAGAGCTGGAAAGGAGTTAGAGAGGGAGGGATAGAAACAGTAGGACTACAAGTAGGATGGTTAACTAGCTAGAGAAGGAGACCTAGAGAATGAGAAAAGCAGGGCAGAGAAAAGCCAGAGCTTAACTCTTATTCCAGTGCAAGGCAGGAAAACAAAAAGAGACTTATTTGGGGGAAGAGGCTGGTAAATCATCCCAGGTTCCAGGCTACTCAGGTTTCCTGGAAGACTTTCAACTGAGCACTTGGGCGGGTTTGGACAAGGGGACCCAAAGTTGCCTTTTCCGCAAGTCCCTAGCTAAAATGTAAAAAGAGAAAGAAAAGGAAAAGCCTGTATCATTGATGGGACAATGCTATTGGGCGACAGAGAGAAGGTAGAATTGCTCAGCACCTGCGTTCTCCCAAAAGGAAGACCGTGCCCAACCTGATAATGATAGAATAAACCAGGGGTCAGCAACCTTTTTCAGTAGGGGGCCGGTCCACTGTCCCTCAGACCTTGTGGGGGGCCGGAGTATATATATTTTTTGGGTGGGGGAAATGAACGAATTCCTATGCCCCACAAATAACCCAGAGATGCATTTTAAATAAAAGCACACATTCTACTCATGTAAAAACACCAGGCAGGCCCCACAAATAACCTGCCCCTGAACACTTTGACTACCAGCCAGGGTTGGTGCAAGTGATTTTTACGCCAGAAACAGAACAATCAAATAAATTAAGATGGGGCACGACCCACAGCAGCTCTTGCACAATTGCTCATTTCAAGGATGTGGTCAGTCACTGCTGTTGCTGCTACCTGAGGCAGCTGCTTTCAGGTTCTTTGTTCTTAGTCCTGCCCTGCTCCTCCAAAACAAAGGACTCGATTCCTATTATTACCTGCTGATGAAAATCCTTTATTCTAGAACAGGGGTAGGCAACCTAAGGCCTGTGGGCCGGATGCGGCCCAATCCCCTTCTCAATCCGGCCCGCAGACGGTCCGGGAAGTAGAATGTGTCCTTTTATTTAAAATGCATCTCTGGGTTATTTGTGGGGCCTGCTTGGTGTTTTTACATGAGTAGAACGTGTCCTTTTATTTAAAATGCATCTCTGGGTTATTTGTGGGGCATAGGAATTCGTTCATATTTTTTCCCAAAATATAGTCCGGCTCACCACATGGTCTGAGGGATGGTGGACCAGCCCATGGCTGAAAAAGGTTGCTGACTCCTATTCTAGAAGCTACACTATAAGCAGAAAAAACCTCTTCTTATGCTTTAATATTAATATCTTTTTCATCTTGAAACATTGCACAGGTAGAGTTTGGTTTTCTGCTCAAAATGGTGCCAAACCTCTCCCAGCCCTTCAGCTGTTGCTAGGCTACAGTTTTATTCATCCTTTACCAATAGCTGGAGTTGATGTGAGTCCAACAATATATGGAGGACCACAAGTTTCCCACCTCTGACTTATGCAAACAATGCATAAATATGTGACACAGTCCACACGCAAAACATCTTCTATGCAGTTTCAGCTGCAAAAATTGGCAGAATGAAGAGAGGAGAGGTAGGTTAAATAATGGAAGACCATGTGGAAAGTGTTATTATCAAATCTTTACATTTAAGAAAGGGTCCCAAAAGGTTAAGCCAAGGTCCCTACTACATTTTGAACTCAGCAGAGTTCTTATGAAGGTGAAATCAACAACGTATCTTGTTGTGATACCAAGAAATGTATTGTGGAATAAGCTTTTAATAAATTAGAGTCTATGTAGAAAGTATAATCTTCAGTTACAGCCTATATTCATGGTTGTAAGGGGCTCTGCGGAGAGTTAAAAGTAATAAATAAATATGGGGAATCTTTGGCCCTCCAGGCATTGCTGAATAACAACTTTCATTAGCCCCAACAAGTGTGGCCAATAGCCCTGGAGGTTGGGAGCTGCAGTTGGGAGCTGGAGGGCCAAAGGTTCCTCACATCTGCAGTAAAATGAAATACAAAAAGTATAGAGATTAACAATTCAATTAGATCTAGGGCCTATTCAAAATAAGCAAGGAGATCCAGGAAACCGGCAATACAACCACAGTGGCAAAGAAACCATTGTTTCTATTCAGAACCAAATGAATGGAGTTGAACATTTTGATAACCAACAGTTTAGCAGTTCAGCAGTTTAACCCTATAGTCACACCTTTAAATTCCTTTGGCCAAGTATGCTCACCTTATTTTGGAATACAAACTGAGAATTCCATAATACTTCCCTCTTGATGAGCCTTAGCAAGTCCCTAGTCTAAGAATAAATTTATTTTTTTCTCAAAAAGGATGCTTTAGTATTTAGAACAGGGAATCCTGGATTCTTACTTTTTCTTTAAGTTATGCGCCTTTATTAAAGCTGGTTACATGCCTCAGGATGTTTCCCTCATTCTTCTCACCTGTGCATTATAAGATTGTTCACTTTTCTATGAGTAAGCCCCATGAAAGTCAATGGGACTTACTTCTGAGTAAACAGGCATAAGGTTGTATTGTAAAGCAAGTTTACTCAGAAGTCTGTGAGTTTGGAACGGCAGCTTTCAGTGGGGGAGAATACAAACTGCTAGACTTTAAAGTGCCACAACTTTCTTATTTGTTTCAGATGCCTCGGGGTTAATATTTACGCATCCCAAACATAAATTTGTGATTAGTTTGCAGTGGGGTCTACCATCTAACTGAGCTGGATCATTTGGATTTAAAACCACCTGGCCACACATGGGGCAGACACAAAATTAAATCCAACTTTTCTAGTAGCTTTGAAGGTTGTTAGGCTGCAACCCTATACATACTTACTTTAAAGTAAGCCCAATTAAAATAATTACATGTACTTCTGTGTAAACATGAGCGTGACTTTCACCAAACAGATATTTAAAGAAAATCGCCAATAATCGTGCAGCAAAATTGCTGAACATTATTAACCCAGCTCCGCCTCGTTCCTTAGGCAGCCCCACCCACCTTGCTCCTGATTGGTGCTGATAAGACCCATTTAATCTTCTCCGCTCTCTCCAAACTGGCAAATGAGAGGAGGAATTAAGAAGGGGAAAGGGTTATTAGAATGCAAAGTTTTTATTTTTGGAAAAAGAGGAGAAGCTGCAGGCTTTAGGTGAATGAGAAGAAAGGTGCGCTCCTGGACCAAACCTCTGAAGTTTTGCGTTCTTGTCTTTAAATTGGTTTGTTACTTGCAGGTCATGGCATTTGTGGATACTGTAATATCCTCAGCGGGGTTCAACCACTTGCAGGATGTACAATCTGAACTTATCCAGGTGAGGAGCAGGGGTTTATGGTGTCCTGTTGGCTTGTGTCCTTTGCCGAGGGTTGGGAATTAAAACGGGGGCGGGGGGGGGGGCGTTGTTAACCGGTCTCTGGCTTGGCCCTAGGTTGCTTCTTAGCATTATAAAATATCTGCCCTTAATTGATGTGTTGCATTTTGCTTCTTTCCAAACACTTCTGAATTCTGCCTAACTTGTTAGAAGATGGCAAAAGAGTTTTTTTGTTTTTAAAAAAAGTGTGTGTAAAACTTGGTTTTCATGCTTCCAGCAAGGCACTCTTTCTGAAACAGCCACATCTGTTTTCTTGTAATATGCCTATGCCTATACATATGCTAGGCTTATAGGATAGCTTTTAAAGTTGCACATGCCTGCCTGCTAAATAAAAGCCATTATGTTGTTTATAGCCACAGTCATAGAATTCTGGATCTAGAAGGCACATTGGAAGCAATATGCTCCAATTGGTTGCCCAGTCAAGGTTTCTATCCTACCTCTGCTTATATACTTCCAGTGAAGGAGAGTCCAACCATCTCCTGAGGCAGTCTGTGCCGCTTTTCTTACTGTTGGGAAGTTTCTGCCTACCTGCAATTTTCACCTATTGGTTCTAGACACAGGTCTTCTTTGTCTTCTTTGGGACAGCCCTTCAGATATTTTAAGAAATAAATGATAGCAGTTTTTATCTTCTCTGGGCGCAACATGCCTGCTACCCTTGTATATCTCCCCCTTTTTTCTTCCTGCCTAAGTTCCTAATCTAAGTTGAGAATGTGAGCTCCTCCAGGCAGGGATCTGCATTTTATAATATTTTTTGGCACAATTAGAGTAGAATTGAATTTTCCATGTGTTTCTCACAACATGCTCACTCTGCCAATGTATTTGCCCTTTCACTGTAGAATCAGCAGTATAAATGCCTTCTCATGTGAAGAAAGCAGTGTCCTTCAGGAGACTAGTGATATATGTGGGGCTTCCTTTAAGCTTTTAATTTTGTCATTCATGTGAAATGGGCAAGATAGCATACCTTCTTTTCTGCACAGTCTTACGTTTTCTCTTTTGCCCCTCCCTTATTTTCTAAATTTTCTTCAAAAATGTGTACCTAATCAATGCTCTGAAATTATGACTGGGGAGAAACTTGTAATCTATAATGGTTGCTTGTTTTATAAATCACTGTATGCCTGTTTCTTGACTTTAACTGTGGTGGGACCTGGATTTTTAGAGAAACTTGTGAACACTGCCATTGTGCCAGGTAAACTGACGAACTAGTAGGGATGGGGTATCCTTGGTTCAGATCTCTGACTGAGCCATGAACTTGCTGGGTGTGGCGAAGCAAGCTGCAGTTTTGTTTTGGTCTCCACCCCTTCTGCAATCCAAGAATAAGACTACTAACCTACCTTACACAAGTATGGATTCTGATTCATTTTGGATCCTCCACAGAGGATCACATGATTGCAAGAGGCCTTGCACCCCAGAGGTGTTCAAGGGCAGATGGAAGAGGGAGGCTTGTGTTTAGAGGAGAGAGCTCTTATAACAGGCATAGGCAGACTCCAGCCCTCCAGATGTTTTGGAACTACAATTCCTATGATTCCTAGCTAACAGGACCAGTGGTCAGGGATGGTGGGAATTGTAGTCTCAAAACATCTGGAAGGCTGGAGTTTACCTATGCCTGTCTTATAACCAAGATTCCTGTGTGCTAGGTCTTTGGCACTTGGCATTGCAAGGACATCTCTCAGTTCTGCTTCCTGATCCTGATCTAAATTTCTTGTACATCATTACATGACAAGGATAACTGTGACTTTAAAGATGAATGGGAACCCTTTACAAAGTACTTAAAGAAACAACAAAATGAACTGGTCTCCTTGGCAGGTTTTGAATAAACATACACAAACTTTTTATTGATAATATTTAGATAGATAAATTAAGGATCTGTACAATTCTGTAACATGCAGAGAATAACAAATGCTGAAAAACCAGAGAGGAGCTGAGGGAAGTCGGGGGGGGAGGGGGGGTTTCTGTTTTCCAGGGAGGGGAGGGGGAAAATGAGGATGATGTATTTTTGAAAAACTGTTAATTTGAAATTCCTAATAAAAAATATTTAAAAATAAATAAATTTCTTGTACATCCAGTCATACAACAGCAGTACAGTGCTGTGGGATGTGATCCTGATAGGTGGGTTTGAGAGCATTAGAAGACAGGAGCTACAAGAAACATTTGCTCCATGGTTTTTCCCCAGGGCTCAAAATATTCTGATGAGCATTTTTGTTGCCTATCTTTGAGCTCCCTGTAGAGATAGCTAGGGTCCTGCCTATCCCTGATGCAGAATTGTAGCTTGTGCAGGAGGCCTGATAAGAAGCCCTAATGGCAGGCACTGGAGCACATTAGAAGCTTTTGTAAGTTGCTTCCAAGTTTAAAGCAAAGAAACTGAAGGGAACGGGTGCAAGCTTTATTCAGCAGGAGCCAGTTGCGGCACCAGGGCCTAACCTTTTTGTACTGTTTGTTTATGTTACAGTGGTGGAAGCAGGAGGATTCCTTAGGCCATTCATCTCGGGGGCTCTTAGATGTGCCCCAGCCTGAGGGGGTTCAGCAGATGAAGCAAGAATATGAAGCCTACTGGGATGTTGACTTCCTCATGAGAAACTTCTCTGCCTCGGAGCCAACCACCTCTAGTGCTACTTGGGTTGGCCAAGAGGAACAACCTGCAGTGTCCACTGCCTGCCTGCCAGTAACCACTGAGGAGGGAATGAGAGGCAGGCTACCCAAAACCAACAGAGGGGTGCCTGATGCTCCTTGGGCACCAGGGTTTGACACCAAACTCCAACCAGGAGATAGCTCTGTGAACCATGTTCCTCCTGCTCATCACGGCTATGCCCAGAATGTGGTGGATCCAAATAAGAGCCTAGCATTGTCCAGTGATCATCTGCAGCACTTCCTTGCCCAGGCAGATTTTGGGGCTTTTGCTCCCACAGTACAACACCACGGAGAGCCAAAACAGAGAGTTCATGGGCAGTACTACCAGCTGACCTATGTACACCCAGGTCCCTCTTTGCAGAGCAAACATGGATCTCACAGTCAGCTTCCACCGGCGCAATCCCAGCTGCCGCACTGCAGTCTGCTGAGCAGCAGTTTCCCTACCTACCCTGGCCACTACCAAGCCTCATTCCAGCTTTGCCAGAGAGATGCAGCTGTGTCTACTACATCTTCCCTTTACAGCACCCTGACGCCTCCCTTGCCTGCCAAGGAAGCCGCAGACAAGCCTAAGAAAGGACACAAGACTTCATCGCGTAAGCAGCCTGCCAGCCACATCTGCAATTATCCCAACTGTGGGAAAACTTACACCAAGAGCTCCCACCTCAAGGCCCATCTTCGCACTCACACAGGTAAAAAAAAAGAGCCACTCTAATAATAATAATAATAATAATAATAATAATAATAATAATAATAATAATTAATAAATTATTTATATCCTGCCCTCCCCAGCCGAAACCTGGCTCAGAGCAGCTAACAACAGTAAAAGTAACACAATTTACACAAAATCATAATCAATTAATTGAAATACATTATAAAATCAATTCATTCTAAAATCAGTTCAGTTAATGGCAACAATTGGACTAGAGTTCTGAGGATTAGCAAAGGAGAGGGTCAGGCTGTGCCCTGGCCAAAGGTCTGGTGGAAAAGCTCTGTCTTGCAGGCCCTGTGGAAGATGTCAAGTCCCACAGGGCCCTCGTCTCTTGTGACAGAGCGTTCCACCAGATCGGGGCCACAGCCGAAAAAGCCCTGGCTTTGGTTGAGGGAGGTCGAAGGGAGACTATGTTCTTCCCTGGGTTGGGAGTGGATTCCTTAGTAATGCTGTCCTCAGTAGTATGCAAGTTGAACACTACTTAACCATACTCCAGCTTTCCACTGGAAATTGCCATCTCAGGTACTTTGCTTTCCATTCTGGTTTTCCCCCTCCCAGCATCTAACTATGGGGTGTTTCACTATAGTGACCCAGACCCATGCCAAGGCTGGAGGGGGAAACTGCTGTTGATTGAGTTGTTCTTCAATAGTGGGTGTGAGTCTACTCAGTTGCCTTTTTTAGATTAAATCATACCCCACCTCCCCCAAAATGATCAGGTTTGTAGTCTGGGGGTGATCCTGGATCCATCTTTGTCATGAAAGGCCTTGATGACCTCAATGGCTAGGAGACCCTTTTTATTAGTGTTGGCTAGTAAGATAGCTATGGCTGTTTCTGGACTGGGATGGCTTGGCCACTGCCACCCATGTGCTGACAACCTCCAGGCTGGATTACTGCAATGTACTCAATAAGTGAGACCTTACTTGAGAAGCCACAGATTCCCTCCCATTAAATGTTAGATGGGCTCTCTCTCTGTTCTGTTTTGGGCACTTGGTGAAGCCCAGCCTCTCACAACAAGCATTTTATGTAGTTATTTTCCCTTGTCTGCATCTGTATTGGAACACATGGCGCTATATAGATTTTTTTACTTGTTTTATCATTTGTATGTTTGTTGCTCTTGGGAGGAAGGGTGGGATAGAAACGTAACAAGGAGTAAACATAGAAATAAGTTAAGTAAATGTGAGTATAATCCTCTTTTGGCTCAGAAGAAGCACAAGGTTGCAGTGATTGTTGCTTGTCTTTTGCAGGTGAGAAGCCATACCCCTGCCTGTATGAAGGGTGTGCTTGGAAATTTGCCCGCTCCGATGAGCTTACTCGCCATTATCGCAAGCACACTGGGCAACGCCCATTCAAGTGTCAGGTCTGCCTGCGCACTTTCTCCCGTTCGGATCACCTCTCCCTCCATGTGAAGAAACACGTGTAACTGATGCCCAAACCCTGGACTGCAGTGGACATTCTGGGCCAACAGGAGGTCTTGAAGAAGAGGGTGGTAGGGGTGGGTCGTTGGGTAACTGCAGGTGTAAGCCTTTCTCTCCTTGTAGCCCCTTGTCCTTCACAAGTGCTGTTTTCTGCATCTGTGGTAGGGAACTAATTAGGCCTTGCAAGGGTCTTAATCTGGCCAGCTAGGCCACTTCCCCCTAAACTATGGCCATCTCAATGGTGTGGCAATTAAAGACATGGCTGGGATTGGCTGCACTAGAGTGTTCTGGTGCAGCTGCTCTCTGTGCTGATCCAGGCTGTAACTGGATCAAGTCTGCCACTGTTCTATATATGTATTAATTTCTATGAAATAAAGCCAAGCCATTGCAGAATGATTGGGGTAACAACTCATCTATCTCAGAGGTGAGTATTTTGTGGCCCTTCAGACCTTGTTTGGCTAACGTTCCCATCATACCATTGCTTGTTCTGGTTTATGGGGACATTGCTTGTTCCTTGGTCATGGGGAATAGAATCTTCTCCCTGTATTTTGCTTTTCTGACCCAGTCGTCATCCATGCAGACCAATGTCTTCAGTCCCCCCAGAATGTTCCTGTAGCTATGGCTTGCTTACATATGTTGAGTTGGCATCCGAGGGATGTGGGCACCCTGAGGCAACTGCGTCCTGCAGGTTCTCTAACTGTATAAAGGGAAAGTGGAGTAATAGTACCATCCAGGGGCAAAAGCCTACAGCTTTCTTTATTAAAATGAATTGGCTGAAAAAGTGCTGTCTCATGTATTTCATTTGTGCTGAAAATTGAAAGTGTTCATTCTACAGTTTGCTGGATCAGATACTGGGCAATAGAGCTCAGGGTTTTACCCTCTAGAAGACAAATAATTTCTGGTGTCCTCTCAGCTTTTTAGCAGCCAAAATGGTAAGGCCAAGAATAACTTGGCCCCACCAGAAGGATCACACATTGGTACCTTTCATCACTGCATAGATTAAAATAGGCAGTGCTTTGGGGGGGGGGTGTGCAGAAACTTAAGTTTGGCCTCATTGAGGGGCAGTCTTTCAATATGAGTCAGAAAATGAGAGTACCCCTAAACATTTTTTAAGAAGAAAAAAAAGCTGTGAAAATAGGATGGGCTTGTAGGCATATAACAATTTATTCTTACACTATTCCTTCTTCCTGTTCACTTCCAATTTGCTTGGTAAAAACCTGTCCTGGACTGATTAAAAAAGTAAACTTTTGTCTTAAACTTATGGTCACATTAGAGGGCAATTTAACTGATTATATGAACCTTCCTGGTTGTGCACAGCCTCATATTTCACATGTCAGTAGATTAAGGTTTGTGTATAAGTTGGATCTATCCCACCTCACCCCAGACTGAACTCTAGACGCTAACTGTGCAATAGTAATCGTGTCTACTCAGAAGTGAGTCCCGCTTAATTCAGTGGGGCCAGCTTCTAAATAAATGGTGTTAGGATTGCAGCTTTAGGTAGAAGGTCCAGAAATCTCTAGAAGGGCAACATAATGCTGGTCATATATTTTAAAGTCCTCAAACTACAAGATGGGAGCAGCAATCCAAAAACAGAACCGGTTGAAATTGTGGTTGTGATAGCTGCTGCTGAGTAATAAATCTATTGTCGTGAGACGCAGCCAAAAGGCTGCATTGTGGCCTTTGCTAAGAGGTATTGCATGTGGCAATATAGTTGCATTAATCTGGCTCTGGAATACAATAATTTTGGGAAGGTGAGTGACAAAAAAAAACCTCTTTAAGAAACCACAGACCTTGATTTACATTGCTAAAATGTGATTTCAGACATAGTGTGTGTATTTTAAGTGTGCTGCATTTTATTCAGTGGAAAAAATGATTGGCCGGATCTAGTGCTATAGTGGCCAAGAGAAAAAAAACCACTGGGCTTCTCCTGAATCTTTAACCGTTACTTAGAAGAGAAAATTTCAGGATGTGCAGCTTGCATTGCAAGCTATACCTGTTGAAATTCTCTCTCCTACACATTAAAGGTGCAGGAGCCCAGGGCTGCAGCTAGGGGGCACAGGTGGGGGGTGCAAAATCGGCTAAAAATATGTCAATAAATATATCTATAAATAAAAATATTGATTACTGCCTTATAAGAAATGGTTTTAAATAGAGGGTGAATTGAATGGGGGGTGGATAAGAGGTGGAAAGAAGAGCTAATTTGTCCATGGCTGGGGGTGCAATCTGGACAGTTCTGCCAGGGGTGCAAGATCACCTATCTATAGCTCTGCAGGAGCCCTGTGTCCCGTATCTACACACACACACACACACACACACACACACACACACACCCTTGAGCACCCAATCTAGTGCTAGAATGCACATGGTGCTAAGACAAAGGCACGCTTGGCAAATCCACACCATGATCAACTCCCATGTCCAGAAACCTATGTCCCCACTGTGGAAGGACGTGTGGATCCAGAATTGGCCTCCACAGTCACCTACGGACTCATTGTTAACACTGTGTTTATGGAAGACAATCTTACTCGGCTACAAGTGATCGCCAAAGAAGAAGAAGGAGGAGGTTTCTCTGTACGGGAGCTGGTTCCTTGCAGTCAGCAGACCCCTGCTGTCTTCCTCAGTGAATAGACAGCTGTAATGTTTTAAGTGTGGTTAGATATGGGTTGAGTACCCACTTGCGGCATTGGTGTTTTCAATTGGTGATTGTGTGTTTTCAAACTAAACCCATGTTCCTGAAAATGCCACAATAGTGGATGCTTCCACATGGAAGTTTATCATAGCCTCTGTTCCTTATGCATACAAGTTTTGCACTGGGCCCACATTACAACCAAAATGCCATCCTATTTGGTTCAGTTTTATTGGTTTTTTGTTTTAAAAATCTGATAAATGCTAAAAACCATTTGTGTAGACCTCCCCTGGTGATATTTGTAGGAAATCAGCAATGGAGCACCAGTCCAGAAGGGGAGTGTGACATAGTTGGGGCATTCTAGCAGCTTTTTCTTCGAAAGAAAAGTACCAGCGTTAAGCATGCTTTAAAAATCGTGTGTTTAATGTAACCCGTACTTAGCACTAAGTGGTCACATCTACAGGTATATCTCATTATCTCTGAAGCAAGGCTGCAAACTTTGCATAATTCAAATTGCCAGTGCTATAAATTCTTTCTCAGATAAGAGTATCCTTTCTATGGGCTGATCAAAGCCACCTGGTTGCCAGGGTTACAGATTGTTTGCCTAATAATGCCCCCTGCAAAACATCCCAGCATTAGATAGTTTAGAAACAGTTCTCCTCCCTTCTCGGGTGTAGGCTTAATTGCCTCATTATCATTAAGGTGGGGTTTCCTTAGCATTGCCATCAAATCTAAACCCCTCTTCATTCCATCATTGGCTGTGTTCACATTTGACAATGAGCTGTGGCCTGCCTTGTTCACACAGCCCAATTATTCTCTGCTTTGTGTAAGGGCAAAGTAGGAAGTAGATGTTTTGGACTATAAATCCCTGACCATTTCCATGCTTCTTGGGGCTGGAGGCATACCCTCCAACATTCTGCATGAAAATAGGGACATTCAATGCTTTAGAATTTTTGTTGTTTAGTTCATTTAGTCGCGTCCAACTCTTTGTGACTCCATGAACCAGAGCACAACAGGCACTCCTGTCTTCCACTGCCTCTTGCAGTTTAGTCAAACTCATGTTAGTAGCTTCAAGAACACTGTCCAACCATCTCATCCTCTGTCAACTCCTCCTTATGCCCTCAATCTTTCCCAACATCAGGGTCTTTTCCAGGGAGTCTTCTCTTCTCATGAGGTGGCCAAAGTACTGGAGCCTCAGCTTCACGATCTGTCCTTCCAGTGAGCACTCAGGGCTGATTTCCTTAAGAATGGAGAGGTTTGATTTTCTTGCAGTCCGTAGGACTCTCAAGAGTCTCCTCCAGCACCATAATTCAAAAGCATCAACAGTCCAGCTCTAGAATGTCCCTATTTTCATGAGTCATAGCCCAAAACATCAGGAGGACAGCAGACTGGAGAAGGTTGGCACAGTGTTCAAGGTTTGTTTCTCCTTAACAAGTCAGGATTTGGGTTTAAGGCTGACTAGCAGTCCTGGCTTGTTAAGAAGAAACAAACCACAAGCCCAGGTTTTAATGCAACATTAAGCTGTCCCCATCTTGGCTTGTTTGTCCATTTCTGGTAGCCTGTGGGAGCTCACATGGGGGCTTCTGCGAGACAAATAAATCTCCCCCCCTTTTATTACTCACAATTATATATTTACATCATAGCTTTACATCTTACAAGTATAAATATTCTTTGTTTTCAAAGTATATTCGTGATTATTATTGTCATCATTCTTAAGTCAGCAGATATTTCTACACACAAAAAAGAATAAAGATGTAATTTTAAAATCATAATATTCTGCATAAATGAATGACTTCCCGCCTCTTCCATTTTGTACCAATAAACTTACTGCTTATATTTGCCTATTGTCTTTTTATTTATAATGTTGTCCTTTCTATCAATTTTCCTTTTATGTTTGCTGTCTACAGAAACTACTCAAAGGCCATTACTGTTTTCAGAATGCAGCAATAAGACAAATAAATGATTGCACTTAGAAAAGCAGTATGTAGGATGTCTGGGAGGGGGCTAGACTAGAACCCTCTTTCCTGATATGGATTTTATTTGTAGAAGGAGGATCCACCCACACTTGCAGTATGAAGGGGCAGAGCTCATGTTTACCACATGAGTGAAAATCAGACTTCTGAGGCAACCATCTTTCCTGTTTAAGCTGTTGTCTGGCAATTTAAACACTGTCTCACACAATTTATGAAAGCAAACTGTTTATATCATAATTAATCCCCCAAACCATAATTTCCATGTAATTTTAACACGCTTTAATTGTACAAAACCCACAAAGATTAAAGATCTCCGTTAAGAAAATGATGGTAGCAGATCAAATAGGAAATCTGGCTCAGATGCAAAAGGCTGAATCTCTCAAAGGAGGAAGAAATTCCACAGCTCTGTAAACCACCAATAATGCCTTTCAAGAATGCCTGTGTACAGGTCTTATGAATTTGGGACCCACAGATGGGATAGCCAAGAAACTTTTAGCCAAACTTAATCATAGTAGGACACCAAGTAGGAGATGTATTCAAGGCCAGAGTGTCCGAGTTCAGGTGGTTGCTAAGCAACCTGTGGCTATGTGATGGTAACCAGAGCTCGGTGATGAATCTCAGAAGATCTGTTCAGCTGGACTGCATGTTGGTAATAAATTGATGTCCCAACAGACTGGCTCCTATTTGCCAGAAGTAAGTGCCTTGTTGTTTCTTCTATAACTAACTTGCAGGAATGGATATGGCATTTTTGTGGTCCTCCACTTTTTGTTTTTTGTATTTCCATCCTTGGGGGTTGTGTGGTGGAAATTTTCCCTCTTCCTTTTCAACTTCTTCCCCCCTCCCCATCCAAAACAGCACAATCAGCTAACTCCCCCCCCCCCAGTCTCTCCAAAGTCCATGCTGGAACATGTGTTGATTTTTTTCTCTAGAAAAGGAAGTGACCGACTGAGGAATTGAACATCATGGATGTGGCACCAAGTCAAGACAAGAAACTGAAGCAAAGAGGGTGCGTTTCCTATAGCTTTCAGTTTGTGGCTCGAGAAGCTGTCAGTGAGCCCAATATTGCAAGTGTGTGCTAGAAAGCAGCTGTCATCAGCTAAGTAAATTGAGGGTGAATGAGATGTGATCCACACCTTTAGCCCTTGTGCGGACTGAACCAGACTGGGACTGCAGTGTACGGAAGGGTCTTTTTTACCCTTAGTCCCACTACAGCCTACCATCGTCCTGATGTGAATTAAAGGTAAAGGGACCGACTCTGGGGTTGCGGCGCTCATCTCACTTTATTGGCCGAGGGAGCCGGCGTACAGCTTCCGGGTCATGTGGCCAGCATGACTAAGCCGCTTCTGACGAACCAGAGCAGCGCACAGAAACGCTGTTTACCTTCCTGCCGGAGCAGTACCTATTTATCTACTTGCACTTTGACGTGTTTTTGAACTGCTAGGTGGGCAGGAGCAGGGACTGAGCAACGGGAGCTCACCCCGTCATGGGGATTCGAACCACGATCTTCTGATCGGCAAGTCCTAGGCTCTGTGGTTTAACCCACAGCGCCACCTGCGTCCCTATGTGAATTAGGCTGCAGTAATTTCCCTTCCATTATATACAGCAAACATGGGGGGGGGGGGGATAAGTTCAAACAAAGGCAAATAGTCTAAACCAGAGGTCAGCAACCTTTTTCAGTGGGGGGCGGGTCCACGGTCCCTCAGACCATGTGGTGGGCCGGACTATATTTTGGAGAGAAAAAAGAATGAATTCTTATGCCCCACAAATAACCCAGAGATGCATTTTAAATAAAAGCACACATTCTACCTATGTAAAAACACGCTGATTCCTGGACTGTCCGCAGGCCGGATTGAGAAGGCGATTGGGCCAGATCCAGCCCCCGGGCCTTAGTTTGCCCACCCCGGTCTACACTTTACCACTGCTATTTTTTTCTTTTTAAACCACCCAACCACAAAAGGGATAAAGACATGAACAACATCTCCTATACTTTGATCCTGAAAGTACATGACTAGTGGTTCAAAATCATTGTCCAGAGAATGGGTGCAGAGAGAGTTCTTATTAATGAAGGGTCACTTCTCCATCAATAGTTTGGGAGGGTAGGGCCGACTGAATGCATTTAGCAGAGTTAAATCACAATACAGTGGTGCCTCGCAAGACGAAAAGAATCCGTTCCGCGAGTCTCTTCGTCTTGCGGTTTTTTCGTTTTGCGAAGCAAGCCCATTAGCGGCTTAGCGGATTAGCACTATTAGCGCCTTAGCGGGCTTAGCGGATCAGCTGATAAGCGGCTTAGCGGCTTGGGGAAAAGGGGGGGAAAGGGAAAAAACCCTGCAGGAACTCGCAAGACATTTTCGTCTTGCGAAGCAAGCCCATAGGAAATTCGTTTTGCGAAGCACCTCCAAAACGGAAAACCCTTTCGTCTAGCGGGTTTTCCGTCTTGCGAGGCATTCGTCTTGCGGGGCACCACTGTATAAAACACTCAGTTGGGTAGAGCAGGGTAAGGGACAGCTAGAAGCACAGAATCCTAGAAATGTAGAGTTGGAAGGGACCCCACGGGTCATCTAGTCCAACCCCCTGCAATGGAGGGATCACAGCTAAAGAACTGCTGGCAAAACGTCATCCAACCTCTGTCAAAACAACCTTCAGTGAAGCAGAGTCCACGACTTTCTGAGTTGGGGAAGAACATTTTTTTTCACCTTATCTTAGGGTAGGAAAAGGAAGCAACAAATTCAGTTTTTAAGAGGGTAGATTTACAGCCTGCTCCTATGCAAGCAGTTTCGGATGTGGGGAGCGATTTTTGTTTGGGGGACAAAAATGGCCTGAGGAGAAAGGGATAAGATTCCTGGCCTTCCCCCCACAACATCATGCCAGTCATTCCCTTGCTTCTGTAGCCTCAGCAACAGCACAGTATGAAAGAAAACAGGCTAACAAGAATAATGGAGGTACATAATGTAATACCACCTACTCTGTTTTTCTGTTGGCTAATTGCACCAGGTTCTTCTATACAAAAATTGATGAACGGCCATTAGATGTCTGTCTTTAGGCATAAGTTGAAGCTGAGGAGCCATCTCTTTTGCCATCTTTGGGGATTCTACAATGGTTCTTCCACCACCCACTCAGTCCTCACTTAGTCTCTCCCCATCTAAACCCAGAAACTTTGAGAAAGAGAATGCTTGGCTGCAGGAGTGGATCCACGAAGAACTTGCTCATGGTGAAGTCTGGCAGAACCAATATGAGGCACTCTTGGGACATCAAGCCCAGCTCTGCTCCTTGCTGCAGGCCAAGAGGTGAGAGGCTCTCAGAGCGGGCACCCAAAACAAGGAATGGGGCACAGGGCAAAAAACTGTCCGTGGCTGCTCTAGACTTGCCTAAGGGTGTGTTTTATTTCCAGTTAAGTTTTTTAGGCTGTTTGGTGCCTGAACATTAGCCAACCTTCGCAGGAAGCAGCAGCAACTATTCCTCTGGTTGGTATCAATACAGTGGTGTAGCGCTGGTTGCCGGTTGCCTGATTCGCACCCCTTCAAAAATTGTTTACCAGGGGCCATGGCTGCACCATAGCTGTCAACGTTTCCCTTTTTTAAAGGGAAATTCCCTTATTCCAAATAGGATTCCTCGCAAGAAAAGGGAAAAGTTGACAGCTATGCCCTGCACGCTACACCCCTATATCAATAGATTTTTTCAGCCATTTCCCCATTGTTGCACTGAGTTGAAAAAGAGATGCACTGTTACAAAGGATGCTGGAATATATCTCTTGGATTGTGTCAAGTAGATGCTTGGGGTAACAGAACATATTTTAGGCGGACAAGTGAAAGAGACAGGAGTCTCTGGCAGGGAGGCTAGGGCCTTACTGAGTAAGGGAAGAACTTCTTGCAAGGTCCTGGTGCACTCGATCCTGGGGGATATTCTGATTCTCCCCCTCTGCAGTTTTGAACCCCTGGAGAAGAAGACCCGGGCACTGCAAGAGGAGCTGGAGGAAGCCCAGGACGCCCTGAGGGAGTTCCAGAATCGAAGCCGTCAACGCCAACTGCGCATCCACAAGCAAGTGAGACCCTTGCAGGGAATCTTTGGGACTCCTTTATTCTCTCCCCCCCCCCCGACTCTTTGGTAGACCTTCATACAGTCATTGCTTCATGGAAAGAAAGAGGTGTGGCGACTGGCTTTGTGGCATGAAGCTCTAGGTAAAGGTAAAGGTACCCCTGCCCATACGGGCCAGTCTTGCCAGACTCTAGGGTTGTGCGCCCATCTCACTCTATAGGCCGGGGGCCAGCGCTGTCCGCAGACACTTCCGGGTCACGTGGCCAGCGTGACAAGCTGCATCTGGCGAGCCAGCGCAGCACACGGAACACCGTTTACCTTCCCACTAGTAAGCGGTCCCTATTTATCTACTGGCACCCGGGGGTGCTTTCGAACTGCTAGGTTGGCAGGCGCTGGGACCGAGCAGCGGGAGCGCACCCCGCCGCGGGGATCCGAACCGCCGACCTTTCGATCGGCAAGTCCTAGGCGCTGAGGCTTTAACCCACAGCGCCACCCGCATCCTGAAGCTCTAGGTACTCCCTACAAATTTTTGCTGGGGGGAGAAGGTGCCACTGGAATGGTCCCACGGATGAATTGGACAGATGTTGCATCCCTTTAGCTCAGTGGTTTTCAACCAGTGTGCTGTGGCACCCTGGGGTGCCTTAATGATGGTCAGGGGTGCCATGGGCAACACTGGCCTCTGTCCCTCTTTCCTTCCCTATGGTGTCCTCTCACATCTTTGCCTCCCATAGGCTTGCACAGCGGTTTGTTGCAGCAGCCCTGGCTACAAGCTTCCCAGGCGAATGGTGCCTCTGGGACTGGCCAGGGGGTGCTGGTTGCCAGGAGCTAAGGTGGCCTCGAAGTAAGCAAGCAAGTGGGCAAGGGAGCCCAGCTAGCCAGTCCTTGCTGTTGGGAATGGGTAGACAAGTCCCAGGCCCCTGTGGGGCAGTGTGAGGAGGCACCTCTTTTTGGGGTGGGGATGGGGGACAGCAGCAGCCCAGAGGTCTCCCAAGGAGAGAGGAGAGGAGCTGAGGCAACACTCCACAAGGGTGGGTGTTTGAAAAAGAGTGAGAGGTTGCCAGCTCTGCAGGCAAGGGGCCAGCAAACTTTTTCAGCAGGGGGCCGGTCCACTGTCCCTCAGACCTTGTGGCGAGCCGGACTATATTTTTTGGGGGAAATGAACTAATTCCTATGCCCCACAAATAACCCAGAGATGCGTTTTAGAAGGCGACTGGGCTGGATCCGGCCCCTGGGCCTTAGTTTGCCTACCCATGGCGTAGCATAACTGGTCTCCTGAACTCCAGAGGGGTGCTACAGAAAAAATGTAGTTGGTCAAGGGAGCCATGGACTCAAAAAGGTTGAAAACCTCTGCCTTAGTTGTTTAGAATGTCAGTCTTTTAGCACAGAAATCCCATTTTCTGCCTTAAGGCAAACATTCACAGTTCTTCTGTTCAGTAGTGTCTGCCATTGAAAGTCAGCACCACCCACCCTGCTTTGAAGAGGGTGACTTCAGGGAACATCAGGGGGGGAAAGTAAATGCATTATCAAAGATAAGGACCAATTTCCATAAACTGATTTAGTGTAAATGCCTACTTCAGGAGCGATTGGTGTAATTCAATACCTCTCAAGATAGCACCTGGCTATCACGGGTGTGTCTATTCAGGAGCTAACTGCTGTTGGGTAACTCCAAGGCCTCTGCTGCTCTCTCTTCTCATTGCACAGAACTGAAGGCAGGCCTGTGGGAAAGTGCCAGCCAGCTCTGAGTCCTATGAACAAAGGAGGGGCATCAACAGGATAGATAAGCAAGCCAAGCCTTAACAATATTATCTTAACCCTGACTGTGGCATTCTTATTTTATTCCTCTTAGGTCAGCCCATGTTCCAATGGTGCTTCTCCGTCTGGAAAGGCCCTTTGTTCCATGTAATGAGTTTAACAAAAAAAAAAAACAAAAACACACCCCACAATTTAATCAGGACAGCTTCTTTCCTTTTTCCAGTGTGTTTGCCTGAGGGATGAAGGGGGGGGGATAAAACAACCTTGTTCCGTTGACACTGTTGTTTATAAGCCTCCTTCCAGTCAAAAAAAGGCCCCCAGTGGTGGATCTCAGTCTTTTCCCTTCAGGGACCACTTGAAAATTGCTGAGGGTCTTGGCAGACCACTAAATTATTTTTCTGCCTGTTGTAACAGTGATAATGCACTGTGCTAGATGCTGTGTGATTTTAATTATGTTTTTACAGCATGCCACCTGAACGAAACTGGTCTGCAGACCGCAGTTGGGGAATCCATGTTTTAGAATCAACAGTTAAAGGTTTTGAAGTCCAGTGTTTTAAACAGTTCTTTAAAATGATGGCACTTTATTTTGAAATATTAACGCAGCAGATATTATATACTGTTGTTTTCTGTGTTTCGCTTCTTAGCTCATAGCTTCTACTACTTCCTGGGTCCAGAGATGTTGTTTTCTATTTTGCACATTTCCCCTGCTCCTTATCTGAATTCTCACATACATTTTAAGAAAAAACAAAACTAGCATTTGGAATTCAGCTTCTGGCTAAGAGGAACCTTTCATCTGTGCAAGATTAAATGATTCCTTCCCTCCCTCTGCATACTGTACTGTTCTGCTGTTGTCCCCCAACTCCTTCTCCCTCCTAAGCCAATTTTGAGGGGGCATGCGGGGGACGGAGGAAGAGGGTGAAAGCCCTGTTGGGCAAGTGGGACTCACTGAACTGATGGGGTTTATAAAAATGAATCTCTCTTTTTTTTAAAAGATATTTATTAAAATTTTTAAACAATTAAACAGATTTCGCATACTTAGAAAATACAAAAGAAAATACATAGAAATACATAAGAAAAGAAAAGAAAAACATAAAAATCCTGTTTCTAGCTTGTTACCTTCATAACCCTCTTTCCTGACTTCCTCACATCTCCCTTTTCTGTGTTCTCTTTTAGAAAATCATATTCAGCAATAGCTTACCCTCTTTTGAATCTTATTAATATTATACATTTCAACTATTATGTCACCAGTTTTTCCCTTCGTATCATTTCGTTTAGTTCTGACATAATATTATTCTAACTTTTTTCACCCTTATTTCTTATACAGTACTTTTACATATTCCTTTCAGCTTTATCACTAATGCCATATTGTCCTTATCTCCTGCATCATTTTAACATTCAATCATTTTGCAATATCTTTGTAAATAGTCTTTAAATTTCTTCCAGTCCTCTTCCACTGTCTCTTCTCCCAGGTCTCGGATTCTGCCGGTCATTTCTGCCAGTTCCATGTAGTCTATCACTTGCATCTGCCATTCTTCCAAAGTGGGCAAATCTTGTGTCTTCCAGTGCTTTGCGATGAGTATTCTTGCTGCTCTTGTCGCGTACATAAACAAGGTTCTGTCCTTCTTTGGCACCATTTGGCCAACAATGCCCAGAAGGAAGGCCTCTGGTTTCTTAGGGAAGGTATATTTAAATACCTTTTTCAGTTCATTATAGATCATTTCCCAGAAAGCCTTAACCCTTGGGCACGTCCACCAAAGGTGAAAGAATGTTCCCTCAGTCTCTTTACATTTCCAACACTTGTTATCTGGCGAATGATATATTTTTGCAAGCTTGACTGGGGTCATGTACCACCTGTATATCATTTTCATAATATTTTCTTTTAGGGCATTGCATGCCGTAAATTTCACACCAGTGGTCCATAACCGTTCCCAGTCAGCAAACATGATATTATAGCCAATGTCCTGCACCTATTTTATCATAGCTGATTTGACCGTTTCATCCTGAGTATTCCATTTTAACAGCAAGTTATACATTCTTGAAAGTACCTTAGTTTTGGGTTCTAACAATTCTGTTTCTAATTTCGATTTTTCCACCTGGAAACCTGTTTTCTTATTCATATTAAAAACCTCTCTGATTTGACAGTAATGTAACCAATCTCGCACTTTATCTTTTAGTTTCTCAAAACTCTGCAATCTCCATGTGTCTCCATCTTTTTCTAATATCTCCCAATATTTTGGCCACTTGGCCTTCATATTGAGTCTTTTCTGAGCCTTAGCTTCCATTGGTGACAACCACCTTGGGGTCTTATTTTCTAATAAATCCTTGTATCTTGCGGGGGATGGAGGAAGAGGGTGAAAGCCCTGTTGGGTAAGTGGGACTCACTGAACTGATGGGGTTTATAAAAATGAATCTCACCCAATAGATTTCTATGATGATGCTAACAGAGTTCAGTGTTAATAAGCACCTAATTTATTTTTAAAATTGCTTTCTTTCTCCTGAGCTGGTGCAACATGATGGAGACACTGGAAGTTGCCTTGTGCCCAGTCCACCTAGCTCAGGACTGTCAGTGCTGACCTGCAATGGCTCTTCAGGCCTGAGGGGGGAAGTCTTTCCTAACTCTGCCTGAAGACATTGGAGGACTAAATTTGGGACTGCATGCTAAGCTAGTGCTCTGCTAAAATTAGGAAATAAGGTACCTGAGGTTACAGACACCTCAGGTTACAGACGCTGCAGGTTACAAACTCCGCTAACCTGGAAGTAGTACCTCGAGTTGAGAACTTTACCTCAGGATGAGAACAGAAATTGCGCCGCGGCGGGAGGCTCCATTAGCTAAAGTGGTACCTCAAGTTAAGAACAGTTTCAGGTTAAGAACGGACCTTTGGAGTGAATTAAGTTCTTAACCCGAGGTACCACTGTAGTAGTTACTTAAACTTACTACTTTGCCCTAGAGAAGACATTTCCAGCCTAGGTCCCCACATCTGCAGAATACCGGTACTTCTACTGTAGTTACTTTATAGTATTGCTGAAGGATAACAAAATGTTGTAATTGAACCAGAAGTGCTATATAAATTCTGGTCACGCTCGGGGGTTAATTATAAGACATTCGCTCCAACTAATGAGTATGTACAGCAAAAAAACAAAACAGCTTCAAACAGATAACATCATGTGATAATACACATTTACTTTGATATCACATCTGCACCATAAATTTAAAGTACCACTTTAACAGTCATGACCCCCCCACCAAAAAAAAAGAATTCTGGGGACCATGGGCATAGCCAGGATTTTTGTGAGGGGAGCAGGACTTTGTTGGGGGGGGCAGGACTTTTGGGGGGGGCAGAACCAATGTGATTGGTCAGTTAAGTATTTTTATTGTTTTACTTGATGGGGCAGCTGCGCCCCCCCTTCGCTAAGCCTATGCTGGGAACTATAGTTTGTGAAGGATGCTGAGAGTTGTTAGAAGACCCCAATTTCCCACACAAAACTATAATTCCCAGCGCTCCCTGGGAAGAGGGATAGGCTGTTAAACCACTCTGGGAGGGGAAATAAAGGTAAAGGTAAAGGTACCCCTGCCCATACGGACCAGTCTTGACAGACTCTGGGGTTGTGCGCCCATCTCACTTAAGAGGCCGGGGCTAGCGCTGTCCGGAGACACTTCCGGGTCACGTGGCCAGCGTGACATCGCTGCTCTGGCGAGCCAGAGCCGCACATGGAAACGCCGTTTACCTTCCCGCGAGTAAGCGGTCCCTATTTATCTACTTGCACCCGGGAGTGCTTTCGAACTGCTAGGTTGGCAGGCGCTGGGACCGAGCAGCGGGAGTGCACCCCGCCACGGGGATTCAAACCGCCGACCTTTTGATCGGCAAGCCCTAGGCGCTGAGGCTTTTACCCACAGCGCCACCCGCGTCCCCCCAGGGAGGGGAAATAGGGATCTCCTAATATCTCTCAGTTCCCAGGATTCTTGGAGCAAGCCACAACTGTTTAAAGTAGTATCATAGTACTTTAAAATGTATGGGGGGGGGTTGTGTGTGTGTGTGTGTGTGTGTGTGGCAGGAGGGGAAAAGAATTGACATAGAATTATAGACCTGTAGTGTTGGAAGTTCATTTAGTATAACCCCCTTCAGTGCAGGAATCTTTTATCCAAAGTGGGGCTCGATTCGAACCCATGACCCTGAGATTAAGAGTCCTTCCCTCCCCATAATCTGAAAGGGAAAGAGGAAAATCTGTGCAGGTTTGTGTGTTTGAATAGAGCAGGCTACAGAACTCAGTCTGATCTGTCTCTGGGAAGCAAGACTTAGTTAGAACTTTCCATCTCTTCTCTAAATTACAGCAGAAGGAAAATCAGAGAATGGCTGAGACTGTTAAAGAACTGGAAAAGAAGGTGAGAGCTGCTTGATGCGGCAAATTTAGCTGGGACCAACCAGCATAGGTTCCATCCGTCTTCCTGAAGGCCTTGGTTGTCCGTGCAGCAGGATCAAGTCATTAAACTTTCCCTAGATGGTGCCACTTCACACTGCAAGTGAGGAATTCACATGTTTGAGTGGTGACCTAGCCAGCAAAGAACCAAAAACTAATTGCAAGTAGAAAACTAGCAATGCCAAAGACATGGGTTTAACCTTAATCCAGGCCTGCTCTTTTTCTGTGTGCAGTTTTTTTCACAAGCCAGCATTTGAAAGTGCTCACAAGATGCAGTGCAAGCACACCATTTGAATGGCAATGCCCATCAGCTTTGAGCGCCCCCAGCCCCCTCAAATACTTTATTGGTGGGGCAAAGGGACCAACTCTACTTAACACTGTGCAAGTTTTAACCGCAAATTGTCTCAAAATGATTGCTGTCCTAGGTTTCAGTTCCTTAAGTGCGCTTTTCAGAACTGCTTCCCTCCATGTGCCCAATTATGAAATCTTTTGTTCTTACTATAATTGACTTGCATATTGTAAAGAAATCAACTTTGACTTGACTATCATTACACAAAGGTCTTCAAGCAACAGTTGGAGGAGAAGTCCAACAAGGATATCCTAAAGGAGCTGAGAACAGAAGGCATTGAGCTGAAGGTGAAGGTCACATTCTTTGTATGTCTTTGTATAAGGACCAGATGATGGCTCTATATCAATACATAAGGCAGATGGGGAACCTGCAGACATCCAGATGTCATTGGATTCAAACCCTCATTGGCCACATCCAGCATGGCCAATAGTTAAGATGATGGGAGGCATAGTCCAGTAACACCTGGAGAGATACAGGTTCCTCACCCCTGACCCTGAACTGTAAGAAAAACAAGGCAAACCCAGGAACAACAATAGAACCTAGAAGCGAAGTACTCATTCCGATAGGATAGTTTACCTTCCCGCTGCAGTGGTACCTATTTATCTACTTGCACTGGTGTGCTTTCGAACTGCTATAGCTAGGAGGAGCATTCTGGAATGTGTTGATAGTAACATACTTTGGGATATTAGTTTTGAGAATGGAGGCATTAAAAGTTAACAAAGGTATTCCTGCTTTTGTTGGTGACATGCTTGAGTGTGTGCTTTCTGCTTTTGGAGCACAGGACTTTGCTCCCAACTTGCTCAGAGGGAAAGGAGGTTTTCAGGGTTGCATGCCAACTTGACTGGGACAGAAATAGGACCCAAAGGCAGGGGTAGCCAGTCCTATGCCCTCCAGATGTTCAGAGAATAGAATTGTAGAATTAGGAAGGATTCCAAGGGTCATGTAGTCCAACCCTCTGCAGTGCAGGAATCCTGCCCACAGCCATCCCTGTTTGGGCTTGAACCACCAGTCTTCTGGTTAACAGTTAGGTGCACTGACGCATTGCACCATACTCCTTCCATATTTCCTGACCTTTGCACCTGGCTACCTCTGATCTAAAGGAATAGAGAACAGCTCAGATGGTAAGTGGCTGTGCATTTGTGTCTGAATGACAAGGTTGCTAATGCAATAATGTTCTTTTTTTTTAACCTTACTCCACAGAGGCACTTGTCTGAATGGGAGGCCAAGTGGCAGGCAAAGAACGACAGGATCAGACAGGTAAACTCAGATTTATTTGTGCTTTCAATATACACATGTTCCCGGTGGTAAGTTAAGGCAACTTTGTCTCTTTGGCTCAAGGAAGGACTTAATGTTGAAACAAGCCTCAACTCCACAAACTACTCTCAGGATCTCCTAGCTGCTACCATGGCTTGGACAACGGCTCTTATTATTTATTTGTAGGAATGTGTTGCAAAGGAAGCACAACTTGAAGGCAGCATCTAAGGCTGGAAACAGACTGTTTTTTTCATAGTACTTAAGTACATAGTACATAAAAGAGGGCGTAATTTTGAATATACAGAGATGAATAATATCATATTTTTCCAGACCCCATATCATCACTAGTAAGATTGATTTAGTCTTTAAGGCTAGGAGGAATGTTAGGGGTTGAGGAAACTTTGTTGTTGTGGGTGGAACCTGAACAAAAGAGTTCTGTTTTGTTATGGGTGTTTCAGAGACAGCACCAGATTGAGAAACTCAGCACCACCATTCAAGGATTGTCTCTGAAGAGCCAGGTATGTCCCAACTATCCCATAGAATCATGGATTAATAGAATCATAGAGTTGGAAGACGCCCAAGGCTCATCTAGTCCATTTCCCTGCAATGCAGGAATCTCAACTAAAACATCCCTGACAGATGGCCACCCAACCTCTGCTTAAAAACCTCCAAGGAAGGAGAGTCCACCACCTCCCCAGGGAGTCTGTTCCAATGTCAAACAGCTCTTAGTGTCGGAAAATTCTTCCTGAAGTTTAATTGCAATCTTCTTCCTTCTCACTTGAATCCCTTGGCTTGGGTCCTCCCCTCCTGAGCATGAGAAAATATCAACCATATCAATCTTTATTACGGTCCAGAGACCCAACAAAGTGTTACAAAGCAATGCACAATTCAGACAGCCTACCTCCAGGTTAAACAAGCATTTTGTTCAGACTTAAAGATAGGGATCATTGGTTCTTGCAACCACGATAAAAACTTTGCCACTGCTAATGTTCTAGCGTTTGTTCAGTCTTCCAATAGGAACATGACATAGTGAGCCTCTGATTTTCCCAGGAAAGGTACCAGCAAGGGTAATATCGGTTCAGCCCTGGCTTGCTCATATTTCGCACAGTGCAGCAAAATATGTTTTATGGAATCAATGTCTTGATCACACGAGCAAAGTCTGTCCTGGTGGGGAACTCCTCTCAACCTGCCATCCGACACTGCAGAAGGAAAGACGTTTAGTCTGGCGCATGCGCAGCCCGTATGGGCTGCGCCACCCATATGGCTATCATATCTCCTCTCATATCTCCTCTGCGCCACCACTGGCTATCATATCTCCTCTCAGTCTCCTCCCTACCAGGCTAAATGTACCCACTTCCCTCAGCTGTTCCTCATACAGCTTGGACATGCCCTGGCAAGTTCAAAGGAGTTCCAAATTAGTTCCCATATTCTTGGGAAATCCTGAACTTTTTTTACAGGCCAAATCATTGGACTAGGAAATATCCTTAATCCTCGTCCCCAAATCCATAACATATAATATAGTACTCAAATTCTCCTCTCCCCTCCAGTTCATGGCTGATAATTGAGCCTGCAGCTTGATTGAACTGGGATTCAGAGAACAGAGATTTCTAATGTCTAAAAAACAGGTGTTGCTTTTTTTGTTTCTCTTTCTCTTAATTCCAACAACAAAGGAGCTGCACAGAAACATCGCCCTCTTGCAGGACAGTGTGATGGAAGCTCAGCAGGAAATGGCACTGTAAGTTTAAAGCAATAATGGTCACTTACGGTGAATGGAGAGGCAGACTGAATAGATGAGTGAACTGTTTAGCCAGCATGTTCTATGTTTATGATAATATGTTATTCTCTTGCTAATTATCCTGTTTTAAATGAGGGCCTTCTCGGTAGCGGTGCCCACCCTGTGGAATGCCCTCCCAGCAGATGTCAAGGCAATAAGCAACTATCATACTTTCCAAAGACATCTGAAGGCAGCCCTGTTTAGGGAAGTTTTTAATGTTTAATGCTGTATTGTGTTTTTAATATTCAGTTGAGAGCTGCCCAGAGTGGCTGGGGAAACCCAGCCAGATGGGCAGGGTATAAATAAATAAATAATATTATTTCCTTTAGTAATGTTTTCTTTTGACACACACACACACACAAACACACAGTACACATTGTTAACTTTGCCACATTAAATGTGCATTCCATAGTTGACCTCCTTTGGAATGTTTTATTTTGAAATCTTTAAGATGATAATTTAGTTTCCTGTTAAATATGTAGCTTTAAATGTATACTTTATATCTGTCTTTCTTCTGTAATGTTGTATTCTGGATTGTTTTATTTGATGTTTAATTGGGGTTGTAAACAGCTTTGATTCCCCCCCTTAAAAATAAAAAGCAGTAATGAAATGAAATGATGATGACAATGACGATTATGATTATGATGATGTTCAAACCCACCTGAGTGGCCTTGGACTGGGCCCTCACAAATCTCACCATCCAGGAATAATAGTTGCAGGCACCAGAGGTTATTGAATGTGATGAAGTGTTCTCTCCCACTTTAAGAATATAAGCTGCCTGGAAATTGTAGAGCAAAAACAGACATCCCTGGGTGTATTTCAGGGTTACTTGTGTGTTTTCTCTTAAAATGCAAGTGTTTGGGGTTAGTATTAAAGTTTGCTACTGTGTGTGTGTGTGTGTCTGTGTGTCTGTGTGTCTGTGTCCTTGGGTAAATGCTGCATTGGGGACCTACAAATCAACATAACATTCTCCCTAGGGTCCAAGCAGAATCAAAGTCGAGAAAGAAGGAAGTACAATCAAAGTAACTATGTTTTGGGCCCACAATATATCATGCCATCGCCGCAGTGCCCTTTCTTGTCCTGCCTTCTGTTTTGCTTCTTTCACAAGCTTTTCCTTTTGGAGATGTAATACTATGTTCTGTTTCAGATTCCAGAAAGAGCTACTTTCAGAACAAGTGGGGACCTCGAATGGGGGCTTTCTTTTAGAGGAAAGAGCATGTGACCAGATGGTATGAGGGGCACAAATTATATGCGCAAAGTGCAGGGGGCATGTGAGTCAGGGGACACGACGTTTGTGGTTTATGTGAAATGTTTATGGGCTCAAGTCAGTGCCATTCCTGGGGTTCAGACAGAATGTAAGGGGGAAATGATAGCATATAAACCCTGCCTTAGTACCCCAGAAACTTCAGAATTCAAGCAGCACAACTGAGGTAGCAGAGAATCAAATCCTTCAGTGTTCATCCTTGCCGCATTCCTTCCTATCTGACTCCTTGTTGCCAAAAGGAAGGTGTAAAAATATAGATCAGTGGTGGGAAGCCTGTGGTCCTCCAGATGTTGATGTATTTGGAATTAAAACTCATCCGTGGTTCACTGCAGGGGTGCCAGATTCCACGCTCTAGGGGGCATTCTTGGTCTACAGCAGAATATAGGGCTTTTCACAGTACACATGCTCAGCCGATCACTTGAATCTCAACATAATGCTTTTTTCTCTCTCCCAGAAAAGGCTTCCATGTTTGGAACTAAACAGAATCAGTTTCAAAGAGCAGCTCCCTTCCTGGTAAGTGATCAAATGGATTATCAGAGAATATAATACAAACAGGGAGAACACAGTGGGGTGAGAATTTCGGGGTGAGGAGAAGAAGGGAAGGCACAGACATTGCGCGCTGATGTGGTCGGTTGGTGGTTTTCAGGCTGTGTCCAAGGGAATATTAGCATTCTTGCAAAGATCAGGGGTTTCTCAGAGAGAAGATACTGAAAAGCAGAATGCCTTGGAAGACACATTGTCCATACAATCAGGGCAGGATTTAGGTTTGATGAGGCCCTAAGCTACTGAAGGTAATGGGACGCTTTATATATCCAACTGTCCTTTGTCAAAGCAAATTGTCGCTCTTTTTTGTGTTGAATATATGCTCTATGATAATTTATGGACCTAATGGGTATCTAAAGCCATTTGCACATGTTGCCATGCAACCAGTCCATGCAAAATGTAGGCACCCTATATATAGAAATGAGCAAACCAGTGATATTTTAGGGAGCAGGCTAGCAGGCGGGGCCCATGACTTACATCATAGGAGCCTACAAAACACAAAACACTGTTGCTGTATGTAGGTTTTATTTTATTTGTTTTTTTATCTTATATTTTGGAAATGTACACCCAGTTTTTTCCCCTTTAATTTTTTTTTGGCGCCCCAAGAGAGTCGGGCCCTAAGCTATAGCTTGTTTAGCTTATACGTAAATCTGGCACTGCGTACAATACTGTCTCCCGCAAATGAGTGTTAGGTGGACTCAAGGGTATAATCTCAATTCATTTGGTAGACTTGACTAGCATGCTTTGTGAACAGTTTGTGTGCCTTACTTGTAACACTGCTCAGAATCCCTTGCAACACGTAGGTGTTTCTTAGCAGACAAGAGCTCCCCAAAGACAGAACCACTGAGAACCAAACCATCTTCTGCAGCTGACTTTGCATTTGGTGTCTTGTTTCTGCTTGTAGGTCATTCTCCTGCATCTGTCCCCAGCGCCCAACTCTCCGGGATGCATGTAGCTTGCTGTGGGCATTAGCCAAGGCCTTGCTCCTGATCTTGCTGTTGGCTGTGGGCTTCCACTTCCTCCAAGGCTGGTTCTCCAGCCAGCCATGTCTGCAGATCTATTCAGCTCCTTTGCTTTATATCCAACCCAAGAGGTTACTGCCCCCTTTAACTTCGTGAAGGCACCTAGGCTTCTGTGGTTGAATGTCCTTTAATAAAGTTTAATAAGAAGAAATCTGAGATCCACCATCAAACATCTGTCTTTGTGTGGTTGAGTTTTGTTTTAACAAATAGGCAGTGTGTGTGGGAGATTGAATTTATGGGTTAGAATTACAATAAAGGTGATTCCGACTAAACGTTAGGAAGAGACTTCCGACAGTTGAGATCTGTTTGACAGTGGAATGGACTTTCTCAGAAGCTGCTTGACTCTCCTTCATTGGAGGTTTTTAAGCAGAAGTTGGGTGGCCATCTGTCATGGATGTTTTCATTGAGTTTCCTGCATTACAACGGGTTGGACTAGATGACTCTGGGGGTCCCTCCCAACTCTACAATTCCATGATTCAAAATCAGGAATGTGAGGTGGGGAGAAGAAGGCATTGACTCACCCCCCCCCCAGCCCCAGCCCAGATCAGAATCCCCACCAACATCCTCCATCTGCTATTTATAACAGAAAGAAATTAATCCAGAATGTGGCAGCTAGACTGGTGACTGTATAACACTGGTCCTGAAAGACCGAATAAATGTGTTTTAATAATGATAATAGCATGTAAGAGATGAAGAACATCACCGTGGAACAACTTATCACACTGGTTATCATTAGTGAGGACGACTGGCTGCCTTTTTTTTTTTTTTTTGGCCGTGTCGGATTTGATGAGTTTCCTTGACAGGCAGTTGAGCTCTTTCCTCGACAAGTTGCTTCTCCAAGGCCTGAATGTTAAAAAAAGAACATTATACTGTTTTGGGGGGACAGGTGGCGGGCTGGTGTGGAGGACTCCCTGGTCCTGAATGGGGTAACTGTGCCCCTGAAGGGCCAGGTGCGCAGCCTGGGAGTCATTTTGGACTCACAGCTGTTGATTTTGGACTCACAGCGCAGGTCAATTCTGTATCAGGGCAGCTGTCTACCAGCTCCAACTGGTACGCAGGCTAAGACCCTACCTGCCTGCAGACTGTCTTGCCAGAGTGGTGCATGCTCTAGTTATCTCCCGCTTGGACTACCGCAATGCACTCTATGTGGGGTTACCTTTGAAGGTGACCTGGAAATTACAACTAATCCAGAATGCGGCAGCTAGACTGGTGACTGGGGGCGGCTGCCAAGACCACATAACACCGGTCTTGAAAGACCTACATTGGCTCCCAGTACGTTTCCGAGCACAATTCAAAGTGTTGGTGCTGACCTTTAAAGCCCTAAATGGCCTTGGCCCAGTATAACTGAAGGAGCGTCTCCACCCCCATCGTTCGGCCCGGACGCTGAGGTCCAGCGCCGAGGGCCTTCTGGCGGTTCCCTCTTTGCGAGAAGCAAAGCTACAGGGAACCAGGCAGAGGGCCTTCTCGGTAGTGGCACCTGCCCTGTGGAATGCCCTCCCATCAGATGTCAAGAAAAGAAACAACTATCTGACTTTTAGAAGACATCTTAAGGCAGCCCTGTTCAGGGAAGTTTTTAATGTATGACATATTAGTGTATGTTTGGTCTTTGTGGAAGCCGCCCAGAGTGGCTGGGGAAACCCAGCCAGATGGGCGGGGTACAAATAATAAATTATTATTATTATTATTATTATTATTATTATTATTATTATTATTATTTGGGGAATTATAGGGACAGCACTACCTAAACAGTATAGAAACTTATTCATGTATGCTACTACAGCAGCAAGAATGTTACTTGCCCCAAAATGGAAAGAAGCAGAAGTCCCAGCAAAGGAAGAATGGATATGAAAACTTATGGAATAAAGAATAAGAAATCAAGACAACTTTTTATAAAATAATGGAAATGGTTTATTGAATACTTGCAGATAAATTGTAAACAGATAAGAACATTGGCAGGATTATTGTAATAGCCTACAGTTTCATAAGAGTATATATTTAAAGCAGATGAATACATGAGCAAATTAAGTCAATTTGGATATGCAGAAGATATTGAAAATAAACGTAAGGAACTGGAGAAAGAGGGGGAATGAAGTCAAGTTTTGAAATGTTAAAATGACTGTAAAATTATTGGAATGTATAAACCTGAAAATCATAAATTGCATATATATATATATGCACACATATGACTAATGATCTGACAGCAATTTTGAAGTTGGTGAAATGTATAAATCTGAAAAGCATAAATATAATATTATGTACTGAGTTGAATAGGATCCAAAATGCAGCAGTCTGATTGGTCCTAGAACAATAGGATTCCGAATGCAGCAGTCTGATTGGTCCTAGAACAATAGGATCCAGAATGCAGCGGTCTGATTGGTTCACAGGAGCCACCCAATCCAGCTCCAGGTGGAAGTGAATCCACAACCTGATTGGCCTACAGGAGAATCCTGGAATTAGCCAATCACATGGGGCCCATTGTGTAAATAATGTATATAAAGCAGACATTCTGGGGGAACTTCCATTCCTCCTCCACTATGAGCTGAATAAAGAGCATGAAATCCACTCTCGACTCCAAGTATATTTCACATAATAACAATAACAACAACAACAACAACAATAATAATAATAATAATAAGAGAACTTTTGCGCACAAAAATACGAGGACCCCCGCCCTCTGCGCGCACCTCCCAGGCTCCCCCGGTTCCCTGCCTTTCCTCTAGGGGCGCCCGAGAGCGCGCCCGCCCGCCTTCCCTCCGCCGTGAATCACTCGGCTGCCGATAAAAGCGCAGATTGCACGCAAGACGCGAGCAGAGCCGGCGCGCCCCAACCTGCGCCCGCCCCGCCCAGAGAAAGGCGCCGCGGGAGGCGGGGTGGGAGGGGCCAAACGCGGGCACGTGACCCATCCCCACCCCATCCCACAGCTTCCCTGGGTCGCCGGCTGTATTTTGGGGAAGCGAGCGAAAGTTGCCGAGTTCTGTGTCAGCGGCGCCTCGGTCTCTTCGGTTCCCGCACTTGGCTGAGGGCGGCGGCGGCGCCTCCGGAGAGAGAGCTGGGTAAGCGACCCAGTTTGCAGTTTGAGGGACCCCCCACCCCCTCTGAGCCCCTCTTGGTCCCGGGGGGGGGGCGGCGGCGAGAGAAGGAAGCGCCGCCGGGAGTGGCTTCTTTCCCTGTCAGAAAAGGGACGGAAGGGGCCCAGCGTCTCTCTCGGTGGGCAAGTGAGAGGGGGCAGAGCTCCTTCTGGGGGGCGCTTGCCCTCCTTTTTCTCCCCCCCCCGCCTCTCTGGCGCCGCCCACGAGACTGGCAGTAGGTAATCCCCGAGAGAGCTCCTGGGCATGTGCAGAGTACGCCGTGGAGTCAGGCAGGGAAAGCATGCCTCCAGTGAGGGAAGAAGTTGGGAGGGACCCCCAGAGTCATACATACAATCATAGTTGGAAGGGACCCTGAGGATCATCTAGTCCAACCCCCTGCAATGCAGGAATATGCAGGTGTCCCATACAGGGATCAAACCTGCAACCTTGGCGCTATCAGCACCATGCTCTAACCAACTGAGCTATCCAGATAGGATTTTAAAATATTGGAGCTCTTTGTCAGAAGTGGGATTCGAACCCACGCCTCCAGGGGAGACTGCGAGTCATCTAGTCCAACCCTGTCCCTCTTTCGTCTTATTACTGAAGAACACACACACACACACACACACACACAAAATTTATTTTCCACTTAATATACAGTGGTACCTCGGGTTACATACGCTTCAGGTTACATACGCTTCAGGTTACAGACTCCACTAACCCAGAAATAGTGCTTCAGGTTAAGAACTTTGCTTCAGGATAAGAACAGAAATTGGGCGCGGCAGCAGCAGGAGGCCCAATAAGCTAAAGTGGTGCTTCAGGTTAAGAACAGCTCCAGGTTAAGAACAGACCTCCGGAACAAATTAAGTACTTAACCTGAGGTACCACTGTATAGATTCACATCATCATTATCCACTATACTGCCCTGGTGCTTAGAGCCACCTCATAGCTTTCAAAATTAACCTTTATATCATTGCAATTTATACGTTTTCCAATTCTAATTACAATTACAGAGTGACTCCAAATTTAATTTACTATAGAAAGATAGAAAAGTTCTCATTACAGGTCTTCAGACAACCCTGGTAGTGATGTTAATTGCTTACAATAATCTCTCCAATATCATATAAATTTATTCCAATCCTTTTGGAATACTTGATCGTGCTGGTTTCGGATTTTTCCTGTCCGCTTCGCCAGTTCTGCAAAGTCCACCATCTTCATCTGCCACTCCTCTTTCATTGGTACTTCTTGTTTCCGTTTTTGGGCTAAAATAATTATTGCCACAGTCTTTTATCTTCCCTTGGTATCTTTTCACCCACTACACCCAGTAAAAAGGCTTCTGGTTTTTTAACAAAAGTATTTTTAAACATTTTCTTTAACTCATTATATTCCATTTCCCAGAAAGCGTTTACCTCTTCAATAAGTCCACCACATGTGGTGGAAGATACCTTTCCTATCCTTATATTTCCAGCACTCATTAGTCTTGTACATTTTAGCCAATTTAGCTGGTGTTAAATACCATCTGTACATCATTTTCATAACATTTTCTTTAAGTGCACTGCATGCAGTAAAGTTAATACAGTACCTTCCTTCCACAAACTTTCCTAAGATTCTAACTGAATATTATATCCAAAATCTTTAGCCCATTGTATCATCACCCCTTTGACCTGAAGAGCATATGTTTAAAGAGGATTGAAAAATGTTTATTGAATATATAGGGGAAAATTGTGTACACTTGAAAACGTCAACAGCATTAAGATAAATTCAACAGTGTAAATAAGTTTTGATGGATGTGATAATGGAATAAATACTGAATGGTTTACTTTATATAAAATAAGCACGGATTTATGTTAGGCAAAATGAACCATGGAAAGAGAAGAAGGGAAGACATTTATATTTTAAGGTTATTTAAATAAATATTCTAAATTGTAAAACAGAATATTAATAAAAGAGGTTGCCCATCTCTGATCTGATAGATCTCCCAATCACCAGCAGCTCTTTCAATCCCAGGTCTTTCCTTCTCTGAGCTTAAAACTGCTCAATGCTCTGCACATGCCCCGGGGC